TGTGATCTGGGAGCACATCCGTTTCCACAGTCCTAAATATACTGAATGAGTCACTTCAGGCCGAGTATTCTGTGGTGATTTTTGAAACACGAAAAGTGGCCAATCTATGTGAATACAATCAAATTTTTGGTTGAAAATCAAAAGCGTAAAATCAACTTGAGAGTGTCAGATGTGATATGATCAATATGGTCTGGGTTCAGGAAGTCGTAGAAGCAATGTAGTAAGAGCAGTGTTGTACAATCAAGTGGTTATCATAACTTTCATAACTTTATTAAATTATTCATATTGTGCTGGATTTTAGAGAAAAAATTATATTGACAAAAAAACATTTGTACTCAAAAATGGCTTTTCTCAAAACTATTTTTTGCATAATTTTAATTCTGCATTCACGGGTTTATCAGATCTAGTTTGTTTGCAAAACTTTTACACTATTATTAGTGTCGTAGCATAGTGTAGAGTTCTAGCGTCTTTCTAAATCACTCAGGTCATGAAATAGATAGTATCAATGCGACTTTCATTGCAGTATTTTCTCCCTTTTTGCTGAAACTTGGTAGATAATATCTTTTTTATAAAGGTTCAAACAGGAAAATGCAAAAAAATAGGATTTCTATGAAAAGTACAAATCCGGACTTTCAACTCATATTTTCATTCCTGACTTGATTTTTTTTTGGTATTTATTACGTGTGTTAGATCTTTCTTGATATAAACGAAATTTATTCGTTGCACTAATTACTTCAAAAAGTTTATGCAAAATGAGTTTTATTATTAAAAAATGCTCTTGTCGAGTTTATATGCAATATATTAATTTCATATAAATGACTGCCTCAATTAAACAACCACGCTCGTCATCGAGAAAATCTTTTCACTTGGTGAACCTAAAGATTTAATGCCGTTGGACTCATACTGAACTATAATAAAGTTGAATTTCCCGGCATAATATTCATACGAATATATTTCGGGTTTGGCCTCATTTGTAACCCCTCCATGAATCATATTTAACGCGATTCAAGATATTTCGGGCTTTTAATAATGAGTGATAGACTAAAACGTAAAAATTATGTAACATATATGGGTATTTTACGGTAATTGTCAAAATTATATATTAATATTATATATTAATAATATAGAAATATATATTAGTTTCCTCACAGTATTGCACAGTATTAATTGTAATTGATTGCACATATTAATCTGTGTTTAAAGCGATACATTTAAAATGTCGCTCATTGATTTACTTTAAAATGATTATTGTAGCTAAATTTTTTAACAACTGTTGGACTGAACGACCGACGACATCTAGTTCAGACCCAGGTCGATATTATATATAAGTCATAATGGAGCAAAATCGTATCGTAGGCTACATTAGGAATTAGGAATGATAGATTTGAGTATGACTGAATATGCCATATAAAATACTGATACCAAATACCAACTTAACTTTTTATTATCTGCTGGTCTAAATAAATTGTCAACAACTTTTTGTTCAGATCGATCGATATTAAATACAAATTATTTGACCCAAAATTTAATCGTATATTGAGAATTAGGAATAACATTGTGAGTAAGAATTTCGTAACTCACGTATGGTATAATGTTACCGAAACAGTAAAAGTTTTTTGGTTATTTATATAAGGAGCATTTTGACAACTTCATTATTCCGATTTCCGAAAATTTGCGTCATAAAAATATTTCTGAAGTTTTTGATGTTCTTTTCGATTGGGCAATTTTTGCGTGGCAATCTCGGTAATATTTTTATAACGATAGTTTAGTATTTAGAATTCTATTATTCCGATAGTCAATGAACATGCTTCTAAATCGCCAGCTACAACTTTCCAACTGGGTCTCTGTTGAATTCCTCTTTCTTATATTGAAATCGAAAATCTACTACTTTGAACCCCTTTGCTCTCTCTTCGAATGTGATATCTGATACCCAGCCAGTATGATATGCGCGCAATGCCAAGTTGGCAATTACCGGCAGGAAAATAAACCCATATGGTAATATACAGCTGTGAGTCAGACAAAAAATTTTGGCAACGTTCTTGGTTGATTTAAAGAACCCAAGAAGGCCCTGTTCGTGACAGAAAATGTCTTCATATATGAATATATAAATATTTGAAATTTCGTTCCGAAACTCAAGAAAAAACTTCGGGTTTGGGTCAGAAACGGGTCGAAAGCAATTAGCTGTACTCTTTAATTTTTTTTCAAATTACACATAGTGTTTATATCACACAGAATAAATGTCCGCAATTTTCGTTCGTTCCCATCTATGGCGTGTCGTGTCTATTTTTTTTTTGTCGACTTTGATTTCAAGTGGTAAATCGTTGCAATGCGGTTTAAAAAATTTGAAACGGTTGCAATTTAGTTTCCCTCCATGCGAGCAGCATAATGCAGACTTGACAGTCGGTTTGGCGCGTATGCAAAATTAGATTCTATCTCGAAGGTCTCACTTTAATATGCATCAAAATGACACGTGACCCGAATTTATCGCTAGATCAATCCTGCGATGCATTAAAATATTCAATCATTTTAAAACATGAGCCCAACAATTTTAGACAGATAAAATTCGGCAGTGACTATCATTTATGACAACTTGTAAAACCATTATTGTGTACAGTCTTATGCCAGACATTCAAAACTAAGTTTTTTCCACAAAAAAATAAACAGTTAATGAGCATTGCATTCATAGATTTTGTAGATACATAAAGCAAAGTACAATTGCTCATTTCTCAAGTTCTTAGGCTTGTAAAATTTTTTAGAATAACCAACCAGTATTGGAGTTACAAAATTACCCATATCGGTTTTTACAGGTCCATAATTGTAAAAAGTTGAGTCAGGAACATAAAAGGTTCCAAAATTTCAGCCTCATTATGTATGTAAAGGTCAACGAAAGTAGGCTCGAATCGGTATCTGCAAGCGTGACTCATTTGAGTTGAAACGGTAGAAGTTGGAAGTAACGGTACTAATTTCAGCGATTCAGTGACTAATTTCGTGAAATTTTTTTGCAGTAAGCTAGAAATTGGAAAACCGATAATTCAAGCTTGTTCCAATTTTTAGGATCGATCTATTTAGCAAATAGGATTAAAATAAAGTAAAATTTGACAACTTGCCGATTTAGAAATCGTTATTTTTTACCATAAATAAATATCTAACCGTTTACGCACTATATCTGAGGGCCTGTCTTATTTGTGGATAAAATTTTTTTCCTAGAAAGATGGTTGTGATATACTGGGCAATCTCAACTCGAGAAATTCTCAAACTCATTAAATTTAGCCATTTAAATTTTCTGAAAAATAAATATTATAAATGCTTGTCGGCATATAAATAATTATTTTTTTTGTAAAATATAAGCTATGATTTAACCTTAATATAAGTGGTTTTCAGATGTTTACACATGTTGTTCAAATTACTAAACCATTTACGGTATAAGTAAGACTTTGGGTTATAAGTATTTAACAAAATACTTTATTTATAACTGTAATACAACGTTCAGAGTAGCATACGGTCTGGAAAATAGCTATTAAATAAGTGAATATAAATAGCTAATTAGAAAGGAACAAAAAATTTCCTCAAGAATCATTGTGTGATATTGTGAAATCGCGATGAGTTACTTTTAGTTCTACAAACTCAAAAAACGTTCAGTTATCAAGAAACGGAGAAAGGCATGACCAACTTCAATTTGTAAGGTTCAAAGATGAAAACCAATTCGGCTTAGGATATGCTTGATATGATATTTCAGGTATATTTCATGTATTTAATTCTGTATAAACTAATAATAAAAACATAAGTGAATTAAAAAATATTTTCTGACAATTTTAAAAGTACCACACTAAGATGTGGAGTTATAAGATCCGCGATTGTCATAATGCTCACGATTACGCAATAAAAAATCACGAGTGAAATGAGAAATTGCGGTTAACCTTTCGACAATAGTATACGCTTTTGAGGGCGGAACTCCAAGTGTAACGGTGCAAACATTGTTAGATTTACTTGCGGACCAACGTTCTCTAAAAATATAATTCAAAGAAACTTATTCAATTATAGCCAGATAATAAGACATAATGCAGACTTTAATTTCCCCCTCTGAGTCGCATGGGACAACGTTATTATTAATATACTCCATAACTTAATAAAGCTAATATATTTTCAAGTTTTCAAATACTATATATAGAATGTTCTTTATTAACGGTAGTCCACAAAGAAAAATTAATGGATGGTGGTATGAGATAACATAGCAAGCTGGCATAGCTGCAAAATCATCTCAGAAAATTATAATTTGATAACCAAGAAAGTGGAGGCAGGGGATGAAAGGTCAAGCTCGAACTTTTTCACTCCAATACGTCAAATTGTTGGTGGAAATTTGTTTCTGAATTTATGATGATCGTAATAAAGTGTGAATAATCATATATCAAATTTGTAATACTTTCAGAATCATTCTTAAAAAAGTTGCTAATAATTTTTGCTGATAAAATAACAGGATCTCCAAGATGACGGAATTATTGTAGAACCAATCTTTATCATGCAGTATTACCTCGTTGTTTAAGTTGATAATTTAATAAGTTGATTTTATAATAATGTTTCAGCAACAGTATTACGCATGATTACATGACAGATTTACTAACTAATATCATACTGTTATATTATCGGCTTCGGCGAAATAGATTTATATTAATAAAAGTTCGAAGTGATGCAATGTCAGACGGTCTTGAATATTTTATTAAAATGTTCAACTTAACCGAACGTGATTGCGAATTGGAAAATAATGCCTTTTATTTAATGTTCATATGGTTGTCAATTCATAATGGGATTTGTTCATAACAAACTGTACTCCATAGAGTAAGTGACGTTTTTTCTCTCGTGCTAAGTATGAATATAGAAATAAATCTCCTCATAATCAAATTATACCGTTCACTTCACATCTCGTAGATTTATTTTGCTTACATAAAAGTCAGATCAATCAGCTAAGAAGGTCCTTGAAACTAGATAGATATTGTTTCGTTTGTTCTCAAGTCTTTTTGAATTGGTGACTCAACTTTTTGAATGAATGAAAAGGTATGGATACCGCCGGAGGTGAGGAAGCGAATGTTGAAGAATATAGAAGAACTTTCAATAAATATGACCCGGATAATACAGGGATAATAAGTTTAAATGTAAGTTGAGTCCACAGATCAACTAACCTCGCATTGGCGTTAAACCAAAGAAATGGATTAAGTTGAATATTATTTCGAACGTAATATAGTAATATGTATTAACAGACGTTGTCCTTGCAAAACAACGTTTGTTTATGTGAAAGCTGTGTACAATTGGCCACTTGAATTTAGATATAAAAATTAGGAAGATTAGGATCTATTCACGACGGTTTAGCGTTTATACTCAAATTTGATCTAATGATGGGATTAGGTTTCTACTCACTACCCAAGCCTAAAGTACGAACTCGAAATTAACTCGAACTCATCGTCAACCAAGTTTCTTTCGCTGCCTTTGTTTCATTACTTAAGAATCGTGAAATTGCGTTTGGTCTTTGTATAAACACAATGCGTCACGTTCGACGTCAGAATCGTTAAGTAATGGTGTAATTTAATTACAAACACAGTGTTGTTAGAACATCAGACATGATTTAATATACAAAATGCATAGCATAAGTTATATTATGTTTACATATTTGGAATGTATCATTTTATTTGAAAATGTATGCAAATTAAAGAAAGAAACTACATGAAAGTTGAGGGCGACATCGATTAAGAAAATAGAAATTAAATGAAATTTTAAAAATCTGAAGTATAAAAGCATTATTTTCAGGACATGATCGACATTCTTCAAAAACTGGGAAGAAAGATAAACAGTTCGGAATTGAAAGAATTGTTAACTCAAATCGGCGATGCTGATTTGGAAAACAACAATATAAATTTTGATTCATTCGTACCTTTTATGGAATTAACTACACAATCGGTAAAATATTATATTAAGTAATATAACTTGATATCAATGTAATCAATTTGGAAGATGGAACCGTGCGTCCCAAAATAAGACAAATCGGTTTACAATATTCCAAAGTATTCAATACTTTTTCTAGAGTTACAGCAGTTCATAGTTACAAAACATGACGTAATAAAATTCCAATTTACGTGCACTGGTAGCCTTATAAGCATAGCTGAAGTGAAAAATCTATTAGTAATAAATCACGCATCATTCTTTCTTTTAGAAAATTCGCTGAACTAATAGAATCACTCAAAGCAAATATTTTTCCAAAGATGCTGTCGCATGCGTTTTACACTCTGATTGTCATTTTATGTGACAGGGTATAATTTGGAAACACCGAAATCGAAACATTCAAAATATATTAAAACTAAAGTTAAAAATACTTGAAAAACAAATTAAAATTAAAAATACTGCTACCAGATGATTTTGATAAAGTTTTAATAAACGGCGAATAATAAGATTGGTATCTTTCCAATTCTTCGGAAATTTTCCAATTTACATATTTTAGTTTTGAAAAATAGCATAATTTTACAATTACTTAATAACATTTAGTTGCTTCTGAGAATATAAGTACATGAATTCAGTGGTTGATAGATCATAATTTTATTGTCCGCAAATTACAATTCAGTAATATAAGTTTTCTTTGCAAGCATGAAATTGAATGGTTTGTTACGTTAGATGAATTATCATGCCTCTTTTAAGGTGACTGGCGATGTCCTTGCTTTCGTAGCAAAAAGTTTAACTTTGCAGTTCTAAATGTATATGGTATGAGCTACTCTGATAATTAGAGATTTAAAAAAAGACAACATGAATCAATATACCGGATATATGTGGAAAATTATGACCACATAATTTACTAATTGAGGTCAAACAGTCCGACGAGTCCTTCCTCATGTTTTCATCGGATATTCTTTATTTAGAATTCCATTTATGAAGATGAGATGTATTTGGTTTTTCAACATTTTGACAAGGATGGAGACGGATACATTTGTCCTGAAGAACTTAGGGATCTATTTTCGAGTTTCGGAGACGAAATAACCGAAAAAGACCTCACGGTATTGCACAAATGTATTGATTTACAGCTCTCACAAAGTAATTTTCCTGTAAATTCAATGTCTGACAACAGTAATCGAGACCGTAAGACGAATTTTTTTTCAAAATGGTGCGTTTTCATTATATAAATTACTACTCTAAAATCAATGGAATCAGTCTTTCTTCAACCAATGTTTTTGTGTTTTCTATATTAATATTCACAGTCCATATTTTTGGAACTGAACATAATTTAGTCGCGACGAAACACAATTACTCTATTCTAATGCTTTTGGGAATTTTCTGTCTGAAAAATGTTACAAAACGTCAAATTCAATGTCATTCCAATTTTTTGAAACAACGGGAAGAATCTCTCTAGGGAAATGCATGCGATTAAGGTGGGACAGACGATTTCAAGTCCAATGCTAATGGGATTTTGCGTCAATAATAACGAGGTAATTTTTTTCCCGACGGGGATTTCTTTGTTCCATAACAACGCACATGTACTTGCATATTACTCCTCCAATACGCATTGCAAATATTTAATCATATGGTAAAATAGTTTTTTCGTAAAGTAATTATTCACATAATGATGTTAATTTGCGTTGCTCGACATATGCACATAACAATAATGAAGAGATATTCTTAGCCACAAGAGCTGGCTGTGTAGGCTCAATTAATTTAGTTTGCAAGTGAAAAGTATTAGTTCCGTTACTAATTAATCTGAGAATGAACTGTTATCGCGTTCATAGCAATTTCTGGGTTGTAATCAACCATCAACTTATTTTACTTATATGACTGATATATAGTTGATTTACCTTAGAGCGCGGATAAGTTGCGCCAGCCAGGACAAAGACAAAATTTGTATTTCAGACTACGCCGAATCGCTAGCCACTTGAGACTTTAGTTAATATTTTAAATCGGGTTAATTTGAACTCATTGCCACATTCCGCGGCTGTAGTCAAATTAAGTACCAAATTGAGTCACGTCTTGTCCTTCTGAAATTTCTAATGTTCACTTATCTGTATAAAATTTGTGCAACGTTGAGTCTTATTTTTTTATTGAGTATTAATTTTTCGGTTATTACTTTAAACTATTCGATGACTCCATGCATTCAGCTAATAGTGGTTCAATGCAAAGTGCAATGTCAGCTTTGAGCTTACTGAAAACAGGCAATCACGTTGGCTGTTATTTATTACTTTTTAGGACATGATAACAGAAGCAGATCACGATGGTGATGGTAAAGTCAGTTTCAGTGACTTCGTTAAAGTCATGACACATCCACATCAGTTACAACAAATGGAGGAGTCACCATCTCCGAAAATTAATAGATCATGCTTCAACTTGGAAGAAGCTATCCCAGAGGAAGTTACGGAAGCGGAAGGAGTGAGACACAAATTCGAGAGAATGGAAGACATCATATCCGAAGAAATAGAAGTCCATAACGACAAATCGTCAATGTCAAATATTTTCAAGGGCAAATCAAAAAGGAGACAATCATGCTTTTCTGCGGTAGGTGGCAGAAAAAATAGCATGATCAACGTTTCATCGTTTTCTCGCATAACAATGCCAAGGGCAAGAAGCAGAAGGAGTTGCCCCGATATAGCTTCGTTAACTAATGAGTTTGATAAACCAAAAGAAGCAAAGAAAAAATCAAGTCTCACTGCTAGTACATCCTTTATACGAGGACTTTTCAAAAAAAGGGGAAAATAGACTACAACTCCTCATACTGATAACTGATGATTGTGCAATAGTTTCATTCAATACAAATTGCTTTTAGTATGTCATATATAGATATATATATATTAAATATGTAAGATAAGATATTCTTAGTCATTATTCGAAGTTTCCGTCGTTATTACTTATCGATCTTAAGATGGGTAAGTATGTTGATAGGTATTTGTCTGTCTGTATGTCTGTTTGTCTGTCTGTTATATAAACGCGATATCTTAAGAAGGCGAAGTTGAATCTGCTCCAAATTTTGCATGTGCATTCGTCCTATCTCGGACCAGAAGCCTATTGACTTTGGATTAATTATGTTGTATAATTAGCGAGTTATTATTTAATTAGTGATGGGACACGCGGTGTCACTATAGAGTCATGAAACGGAACCGCAGTTTCGATCGATAAGTCTTCGGTCTCCGACCGATATTCTCGTTTCAGGTATTGGGCGTTTAGTCCTTTGCGTGGCGGGTTGTGTATTAGCTTTTTTCATAGTTTGTTTTCTATTCGTGCGACATAATTCCTTTTGTTCCAAATCTTGGAATTTAAGGCATGTTAGAAATTTCACTGAAACCTTGTCCAAGTAATTTTTTCACACAAAAGGCAATTTAAAGGCAAATGTAGTTGCGTAACTTTTGTGATGGAACTAACGCAGGGTGTTCCAAACTCTGGCACTTACACAGTCGGCAGAACAATTTTAGCGCCCACCTAATCATTTGCAAATATTTTTTTTTATTGGCAGAACAATCTCACCCTTCAACCTCACAACCTTGGACCACCCTGACCTAACACAATAATGATATTATTGAAGTAAATTAATCTTTGAAGTTCTGTAATATTACCAAATGAGAATTGAGCACAATGATATTCCTCAAAAATTCAACGTTACACGCAAATTTCGTTAAATGGAAAAAGTCATAACATCAGATGGCGCAGCAGAGAAAATCTCATTTGTGTGGACAATGTCGGGCGCTTTCCAAGTTGGAAATGGCGCTGATCGAGCATACGCAAATGGTAATTTAACTTTATGGAACCATTTTGTTATGCTCAACTTGATTTTTGCACGACACTTCTTACGATGAAGAGACGGAAAGCCGTAGGCGTGATCCGAAACACAGATATGCCATTCCCAAGTAATCCTCGGAATCGTATTATTAACGAAATTGATTTTCTCACCTAAAAGCCGATGGTTCTTCGTCACAGTTTCTACTAGCAACAATGCTTTGTTGACATTGTACACAAAACGGAAAGATATAGCAGGTTTGCATTTGACAATTTTAAAAAACCATCCTGGACAAGAAGTGAACCTATTGATTGTAACAGATTGTTATGTTGCTGTTGTTTGTATTCGTGGTATTTTTCTTTATCCCCTTGCTATTATTGTTGTTGTGAAAAATAATGCTTTTCTCTTCAACTTCGGGGCCAATTGCTTTAAAATTTTCAGTGGTTGAAGATTGTTGTTGTCGATGGAAAGCTATTACTCTTATTTAGTCCATAAAATTCTGTGGGCTCTATGAAAATCGTTTTTTTTTTTATATGTGTGATGACGTCATGAAAATTAAAAATTACTCACCTTGTTGTGGCTCCGCGTTCAAGTTCGCTGCAATCTGGTGGTCAGTCGAAGTCGGAAAGACTACGGCACCGGTACTGTAAAAGATAAGATACTCGTACTTACTTTTGCTATCGTGTCCATATATTTGAGCACTTCTGTCTTGGTCTTTTTATGATAAACTATCAGAAGTTTAATAACAAAAACTTAGAAAAGCTGATGTTGGGTATACAGCAGTTGGCCTGTTCATGTTGTTGTTGTTTAGCAGGTTGAACATTTGAAAGGCAAAAACATAACTGTAGTTGGTCACTCGATAAATTACGTGATGATGATTTCCTAAAATCCATTTGCAGTTTTTCAATAGGCAACATGGTTTTTAGAGTTTAGACAACATGAACAGTTTTTCACCAAATTTGAGATAATGTAAACTATTGGATACACATTTTTGGCCATATTACAAAGGTCTATACCAGGTAACTTTTGTGCAGCTTAATATATCTGCCATGTTAGTGTCATAAATTTGAGATCCTGAATACAGGCCCAAAGTATAAAAATAGTAATATCCTATTTTTGTACAATCAATTTTCCAAATATGGAATATGAGCCTTCATTGTGCGTGACACAACACTCGAGCAATGTAGGTTTGTTTCTGCTATATCATGACACGAACAAGTTCAGATAGATTGATACCTGGCCAATTAAATTTCTTAAGCAATCCAACTTCGTCTTTTTGTTTGCTTTACATAGCTTCAGAGCCAGACGTCTCAAAGTAAAAAAACAGAACGTGTGGATTATAATTATTTCGATACGTAGTTAGTTAATTATGTCTGTCTTCATAAATTGGCAGATGACGTCTCGTGTGAATGTCGGAGTGTCCAACCACATATTTGGTGAATGGTACATATAGATGTAAAAAAATTAACGTTCAACGCATTGTTCGATCATTACCTTATACGTATGCGACTATAAAATGAAACAGTTTGACAAGCTCATAGGTACCTATTTATTCTGGCCAATTTGTCTATAATTTGAAAATATTAGTTATTGTATAGGATCTTCTAAAATTGTGCATTTTATAGGTAACTTAGTAAATTCCACTATACCGTCAGTTTAAGAACGATTTCTATAAAAATGAATCTGAAGCCCATTTAACAGCAAATGCATATTTACTGTTTACTAACATCTAAATTTCACTCTTACTTTGAAATCTTTCGCTTTCCATTTCCCATAAAACTTAATAGAATAAATATTGACGAAAAATTTGTTTATTGGGCTTCCGCAACTTATGTGTAACTCAGTGAAGACGATTTCGTAACCGGGATTAAGGAATTTCTTTTACAGCATTGTTTCAATAATTAAATTGCCATACAATTTGACTCATCTAGAAAGCATATTATTATACTAGTAATTTTTACAAAAGAAAGTTTTCAAGTCACGAGTAGTAGCATTTTTTTTACCGTAATGTTAGTAATAAAATTTGTTTCTCACGGTGAACAAGCTCAATCATTGTAACAAAAAAATGTGAACGATTTTTGCGAGCTGTTATTAAAAAAATATCTCGCAAACGATGGAAATTTTATAGAATTCACAAATGTACACTGTTAATCGCAATTATAAATCTGGGTAACCTTTTGCAAACTTTAGTAGTTGCGCTTAAAAAACGATTTTATTTGAAATTTTTTTTATTGGGTCAATGCCAAATTATTTAAAAATAACTCAATCTCAATGACTCAAATAGCTTTTATACTGAATCGCATGAACGTAAACACCCAAAATTTCGCAACTCTCATGTAAGTATATCCACGAATCTGATAAGACTGAAGTGCACGCATGCACAATCTCATGAATATCTCCTTCCATTCATGAAAATAGTATTACGGAAATGACTGGGCCAGATTATGTTGATATTTAGGAAATACTCTATTTCGTGCAAGGGGTTGGAATGTCAAAAAAAAAACGTTATTTCGAAATTATTTACAAAAAAAATGAACAACGGCTTTTTAATTGGAAATTTAATTGGAAATTTATCAATAACTTTTCAAGCTCAGGTAACCCGATTTTCTAGACCAGCCCATTACTATGTTGTTCTGTTTGTTCACCGATATTCATCAAACAATTCAATAAAATGATGCAATCGTATTTTTCCATCATAAATTGAGTTACCTCAAGGCAACACACTTATTAAATATCAATATAGAAAGGTATCATAATTGAAAAATAAAACCTAGAAAAGACAGGTTCATCATTATGAAAACTAATTTCCTAAAATTGAATGTTTGCCAAACATTGCGGTAATTTCATTGGGGTTAATTGCCGTGTGAACGACAATTATTTGGAACAAAAATAATAAATTTATATAGCAAAGAACTTGTAGTTGTTTCGATGGAATTGTCTCACAAATAAAGAAAGGTATTTATAGTATTTTTATACATTATATCTCAATAATAGCTTGTTTCTTACTAGTTGAATTAATAGTCTAACGCATTTTATTCGGTTCACCGGCAATAACTTTATACCGACGGAAAAAGAGTTTAATCTCGCAATGCGTTCAAAGTGATGACTGTGATACGGTAGTATGTTTTGCGCTTTTTTTCTAGAATGTCAGGTTTGGAATTCCCAGCGACAATATCAAGCTGTTCAGAAGAAGCTGAAGTATAAAAACAAATAGCGGATTTAAAAACCAATTAACTTGTGAGAAATTAAGAGGTTTTCAGCAAAATTGTGGTTTATGAATGTAAGCAATCCAAAATTAAATGGATGTTTATAAAACAATAATTGATTGTGAATTCATTTTCGTCAAATTTAAATTTGTCTGAATCATTCCTAATTTTTGTTACAGTCATGCTTGGCAAATATCTGTTTAAATTGTTAATAGTAATTTCGTTGTTCATTGTATCGGTCGGTCACATGAACTTTCTTATGCTGTGGTATAGATTTCATACAATAAAGGAATATAAATTGGTGTAATGATTATCCTAAATATTCACTTCGCATAGGACTAAAATATTTTGCATTCTAAAATGATATTTTTGGTAACAAATTGAGAGATTATTCATATTCTATAAAGCCCAAATAATAAAGGGTCAAATTTAGTTTTTCTTATTCTGCTTTTTCAGCATAGTTCTTAAAAGATTTTCAATATTTTATGAAATCAAAAAACTTCAGAAGTGTGCAAGACACTATAATTAAACTAAGATGTGATAACTATATATCATAATTGCAATTAATTCCTCATAATTAAAATATTAAACTAATAAATCAAGTTTCTTAAGCGGAACTGAGTTTCTTTAGTAAATTATCCAACGTTAACTAACTTTGTACTGATATGCAATACCTTTTCCCATAAAAGCATAGATTCCATTTAAAAGTAAAATAATATCTCGCCCCCTACAACATCGCCAAAATTATTATTTGTGTGACTGAAAAAAAATTTTGAACGTAAGACTTCCACATTTATCACTGCTATTTTGTATCACAAGTAAAACGGAAAGCTTCAAAATTGAATTCCAAATTGTCTTGTATTCAGTTTTATATATTATAATATTATATTAGCCTTTTGAGCCTTTCTCGATGTGAATAAGATATCAGCGGACTCACAA